TGGATGGATGGATGGATGGATGGGTGGATGGATGCGTGGGTGGAGGGGTGCGTGGGTAGGTGCGTAAACGGATGGATGGGCTGTGGGTGCATGGGCGGATGATTGGATGAATGTGAGACCCTTACAAGGACGCAGCCTCGGGTGCCCATGCGTTGGCCGTGTGTCCCCACAATGGGGCGTCTGCGTGTCCGGGACCCGCGGCCCCCGCTGCCCGGTGCTGTTGTTCAGTGCTCTGCGCACCGTGCAGCGCCCCAGCCCCGCGTCCCGCCCGCAGGTTCTGCAGCGCGGACACGCCCAGAACCGGTACCCGCTGCCCGAGGGCGCGGCGGGCAGCTCCGTGCGCCTGCGCGTGCGCCACCTGCGCGGCACCATCTGGAGCGAGTGGAGCGCTGCTGTCCCTTTCGGTGAGGCTCGGGGGCCCCGGACGCGTCTTTGGGGTGCTCCCTCCGGACAGGCTGCAGTGGGGAGCCCCAGCCCCAGCCCAGGCCCCGAGCTGCAGACTGCGCATCTCGTGCCCGGGAAACCCAAGGGTCGATGCTCCCCCGGCCGCGTGTATCCCGGGTCCCGCTCAGAGCGGGTCCGGACGTGCAGGGGGCCATGCCACGCTCTGACCCCTGCGTCCCCTCCTCGCAGGCCGGGAGCAGGGCTACGAGAGCCTCACCCTGGCCCGGGTGCTGGCAGGGGTGGGAGCCATCACCCTGTGCGCCGTGGTGATGATGGTCGTCTGCAGAAGGTGTGTTTCCCAGCCTGTCTGCCCGCACTGCGGGAGGCTGAGGCAGGAGGGTCTCAGGTTCTAACCCAGCCTGGGCCCCGGGTTCAACCCAGGGAAGCGCAAGAGTGAAATGGGCAGAGAGGAAACAGCCTGGCAAGACTGGGCCCACTGGGGCACACCTGTAATCCCAGCTGAGCAGGAGGCTGAGGCAGGAGAATCCTAAACTCAGGCCCAGCTTTCAGTTGAAAGTGTGTGGACAGGGCCTGGAGTGGTGGTGCAGGCCGGTCATTCCGGCGCTCAGGAGGCTGAGGCAGGAGGATCGCTACGAGCTGGACACCGGCTGGGGCCGTGTAGTGGGTTCAAGGTCAGCCCGCGCCGCGGAGCCTCCAAAACAGCAAAGCAGAGGGCCCTCGACCTGCAGCTCCGCAGACGGCCACCAGGTGGCGCTGCACACGGAGACTTAAGCCGGGATGTTGAGATAGTCCTGCCTCAGCCTCCCTGGAGGTGCTTACCCTGGGGCTCCTCGGAGAGTCGGGGTCCAGTCGGCCCCCTGAGTATCTGCTCAGTCTCCCAGGGACGCTGGGCAGCCTGTCCCCTCCGCAGGTCCTCGCTGGGGCAGTGGCTGCTCCCGCCCGTGCCGCAGGTGAAGGACGAGCTGACGGGCGCGTTCGTGTGGGAGCAGGAGGTGAGGAGACCCCGACCGCGGCCCTCGGGGTGACGGGGTGGGAGGGCGACCCAGAGCTGACCAATGGCGGCGTGCCACAAGCGCAAGGAGCCCGGTGTCCACGCCAAGTCCTTGTCCAGTCACAGAGCGGGCAGGCGTGGCCCCGCCCCAAGTCCATCCACGTAGCCGCTGAGGCAGCCTCCTCGTTCCCTTTTCATGGCTGTGTAGTACTCCCCAGCACAGAGGGAGCGACTTCTCTCTTCTCTCCCACTGGGCTCACACGTGGAAGCACAAGTTACTGCCGCCTCCCGGCTGTCGGGCGGCGTCCTGCCTTTGTCACAGCGGCCTCGCTGGGAGCGTCGGGACTTTGACCCCTGACGTGGAGTCCCTCCTAGGTCACCGGGAAACAGGCCGGGCCTGAGGCAGATAACCTGGAGCCCGAAGACATCCTGGTGGTGGACGAGCCGCAGTGATCCCCCCGCGCACCCTCCTGCAGGCTTCGCTTGCTCTCCCACCCGCTGGGGGCCCACGTGCACGGCGCGTCTCCGACAGGGGCGTAAGGTCACAACCGGGAGGCTGAGGCGGGAGGATCACAAGTTGGAGCCCAGCCTGGGCAACTCGGAGAGTCAGCGAGACCCGGCCTCAGGGGAAAAACTAAAGAAGGGCTGGGGACGGAGCTCTGTGCGCACACCCTGGGTTCAATCCCCAGCACCGGAAATAGAAAGAACAGAAGCGGGGCTGGGGATTTAGCTCAGCGTCGCAGCGCCTGCCTGGCAAGTGGGATGTCGTGAGCTCGATTCCCGGTACCGGGAAAAATAAACAAATAAATAAATAAAAGAACGGAAGGGAAGGAGGGAGGGAGGGAGGGACACAAAGCAGAACAAAACAAGGTAAAACATTTTGCAGCTTGCCCCCTGCCTTGCCCCTTTGCTAAGATCAGAAATGCTCGGCACTGTCATCTCCGCAATCAGCAGGCTGAAGCAGGAGGATCTCTGCAAGTCTCAAAACTGACAAAAAAACCCAAGAACGATATTAAAAACAACAACAACAACAAAACCGCTTGGTGTCCGCCCCGGGGGAAGTTGTGACGGGTGTGTGTGTGTGTGTGTGTGTGTGTGTGTGTGTGTGTGACGCATTTGTGTTTGTTCCCGGGGAAACGTGCCCTCTCGTAGCACGGAAGTGCTGCGGTGCGCATGGCAGGTGAGACCACGTGAGTGTGCGCGCGTGTGAGTGTGTGCGCGTGCGTGTGAGTGTGCACACTCACGTGCGGGAACTCGAGGCAGTGCCCCAAGCGCGGGCACCAGCAGACCTCAGCCCTTTTCCTGCGACACAGAAATTCATAATAAACACAAAACATCTCATTGTGAAGTGTAGAATGTCCCCGCCCCTCTGCCCTGGGAGAAATCGGGCTGCATCCCGTGACCCCGAGCCGCCTGCATGCCTGCCTCGGTTTCCCCCAGTGCCGGGCTGGTTGCACGTATTTTCTTGTCTCTGCGGCTTTCTTGCTTTCTGAAAAGCCCGAGCCCAGCCTGTGGCCTGTTTCGTATTAAACCGGTTGCTACTGACCAAAAAATTTGTTGGTGTTTTGTAGAGAGGTCTCGCTGTGGAGCACAGGCTGGCCTTGAACTCGGGGCGATCATCCTGCCTCAGCCTCCCCAGTGCTGGGATGACGGGTGTGTGCACCACTGCACCTGGCCATCCACTTTATCTATCTTTTTTTTCTTTCCTTTTTGTCTTTTTGAGGTAGGGTCTCACTATGCAGTTCAGGCTGGCCTTGAGCTCACTTTGTAGCACAGGCTGGTCTCGAACTCACAAAGATCCTCCTGCCTCAGCCTCCCGAGTGCTGGGATGACAGGCATTTGCCACCGCACCCGGCTAGCTATCTATCTTGAAGCCATCATACATCGTAATTTCTTTTGAAACAGGGTCTCACTATGTAATCCAGGCTGGCCTTGAACGCACCCTGTAACCCAGGCTAGGCTGAAACTCTCAGCGACCCTCCTGCCTCCGCCTCCCCAGTGCTGGGATGACAGGCATGCAAAAAAAAAAAAAAAAGTCAAGCTGAAAGTGGCCTGGTGGTTTCCAGAAGCGGCTGGGAGCGGCGCGAAGGAGGAGGGATTCGCTCAGTGCACAAGCCGCTCGCCCCACCGTGCCGCGCCGCGATGCCCTCGACGTGCGTCCGGCAGAAACAGAGCCCGGCCAGAAAGCTGCGGCCACGTCCAGATTTCGAAAGAGGCCTCGGCGGCCGATAAGGAGGACTTGGATTTCAAAACAGCGCGGCTCGGGAGAGCTGCTTATCACGGGGCCGCGGATGCGGGCTCAGGCACCCATAGGCCGTGTCGCAATGACCTCCGGGAAACCGAGGCTGGAGGGGCCCGCGGGTCCCGGGGACTCGCTTCCTCCGGCCCTGGGGGAGCTGCGCCGTGTGCTTCCCGTCCACTCTGAGCCGGGGTCTCGCCAAGCTGCCCAGGCCCGGCTAGAGCTCACAGCGACCCTCCCGCCTCAGCCTCCCGAGCGCTGGGGTGACAGGCGCGCGGCCCGGCCGGCTGAACGCACATCCGGGTGCCGCAGAGTCCAGGAGCGGCCGGACCCAGGGTTTCTGGGAAGCCGACCCGGTGGGGAGCTTCGCTTTGCACATTCTGAGCCCCGGACAGAATCCAGCGGAAGGTCCTGAGTTCGGTTCCCGGCACCAACAGCTTCAGCACCTGGCATCGCAGGGAGAGGGAGCAGGGTGCACAGCAAGGTGCAGGGAGTGAGGCTGCGGTCGTGAAGTCGCTTTATTATCACACCAGAGTGTAGCCAGTACCCTGCTGTAACTCCGGGCCGGGAAATAGGGCCGAGCCCTGGGGAGCGGGGTCCGCAGGTGGTCTGCTTTCTGTCTGAATATGGTATGCATGGCCCTGTTCAAACACATGATGATAAGCCCAGCACTCAGGAGGCTGAGGCAGGAGGATGGTTGCAAGTTCAAGACCAGCCTGGGCTACAAAGTGAGGTCAAGGCCAGCCTGGACTGCACAGCGAGACCCTGTCTCAGAAAGACAAAGAAAAAAACTGCTTGTATGTAAACGCGTGCTGTCCGCCCCGCCCCCTCGCTGTCAGCGGTCCCCCATCCCGCCCACGCCACTCATGTTTGGGGTTCAGGGTCCTCAGCTTCCTTTTGTGTTGTCGTGTGTTTTGAGACAGAGTCTCACTGTGGAGACCAGGCTGGCCTTGAACTCTCAGCGACCCTCCCGCCTCAGCCTCCTGAGTGCTGGGATGGCAGGTGTGCACCAGCGCCACACCCGGCTCTGGTTCCCCGCAGTTTCGGGTGGGGACCCCGAGTGAGTCCCGCCACACAGCTGCTGTCCGCTCCCAGCACCCCTCGGGGCCACCGTGCGGGTCCCCACCACCAGCTGCACCCACCACCGCCCTGGGCCGGTTCCTCCTTTCTGTCGGCGCCTGGCCTCCCTGCTGCCACCCGGTCCCCAGCCCCAGGGCCACGGGGCTCGGCACGGGGTTCACAAGAGTCATGCGAGCCGGCGTGCGGCGTACACTTCCATCCAACCCTCTGGGAGGCTGAGGCAGGAGGCTCCCCCACTGCAGCCCAGTCTAGGCAGCTGAGTGACTTCATGAGACCCTGCCTCGGTCTGGGGAAGAGGGAAGAGTACCGCCTCCTGCCGGACACTAAGTATCGCTGCTGGCTGCAACATTGTGTCCAGGCGCCGGAGCTGGGAGTTCAGAGCCGGTCTTCCTCCGCGCCCCGCGCTGCCGGGCAGAGACCCTCTCACGGCCGTGGGTTTTACTTTATTTCTCGGAAGCCCTGGCATCGACCCCGGGGCCCCGCACGGAGCTCCGGCCAGCCCTGTTTGATGCTGACACAGAGTCTCGCTGACTTGCTAAATTCCCCTGGCTGGGTTGGAGCTTGAGACCCTCCTGCCTCAGCTTCCCAGAGTGCTGGGCTGACACCACGCCCGGCCACCGCAAGTCACTTTAAATTTGGCGAAATAAACGCGGTCCCCAAAGGCTCCCGCACCTCGCTGCCCGGCTGGGGCCTGAGGACTGCGGAGGCGGGGGTGGTGGCGAGGTCTTGGGCCCCTCCAGGTGCCGCAGGGCAGGGTCTCTCCTGCGCAGCCTCCCGCCGGTTACCACGCCTGGGTACGCGGGGCAGCGGCCGGAGGAGGAGCGGGGACCCCGGACGCTGCTGAGGACTGAATATGCGCACTGCTGAGGCAGGTGGCATGTGTCAGGCCGGCGCTTGGGAAGCTGAGGCAGGAGGATTCCAAAGTCCAGTCCTGGCAGGTAACTGAGTAATTTAATGAGACCCTCTCTCACAAGTAAAAAAAAAGAAAAAGCTAAAAAGGCCCAGGGCCAGGCATGGTGGCTCATGTGTGTCGTCCCAGCACTCAGGAGGCTGAGGCAGCAGGGTCTCTGTGAGTTCGATGCTCCCTCCTGGGCTACACTGGGAGTCCTTCTGGCCGGGAGTTGTGACGTCCCTGTCACCCAGCCCGGGAGGACGCCGGGCGCTCGAGTCCACACGGCACACGATGGTGATGGTGACTAGGGAGGTGACGGGGGACCGCCCCCTCTCAAAGTCTTTCTCCCTTGAATTTTGGGGCCCTACATTTTGGGGCGAGTCCCAGTGGGTGCTGGGTGCTGGTTCGGAATTAGTCCAGGTTCGGGTGGGATTCAGGAGCCAGACCAGGAACGTGCTGCCGACAGGAGAGTGGGTTCCTCGAGGGCAAGGGCATTGGCAGCCACTTTGGCGTGCAGAGGAAAATCACGCACGGCCCATAAAATCCCCACTGTCCTCTGCCAGGCAGGCCGGGGCTTGGCTCGCGGCCCCCGAGGAGAGAGCAGGAAGTTGCCCAATTAACTGTGGGGAGCGGCAGTTATAATCGTCAGGAGGGGAACCGGGGGGCAGAGTTACAAGGGGGAAAGTGACACGGCGTGTGGTTCCTTCCAGGCAAGCCGCAGCGGGGCCCCGTGGACAGCTGGGACAGGGTGGGGCCGCCCCAGCACCCAGCAGCCCTGCAGCTCCGGTTCCACCCGACGGATTTTCCAGCCAGCGACAGAGACAAGCCTGGAGCGGAGGCCAGGAGCGGATCGCAGGGGACTCCGCCGCGACGTCGGGGTGAGCGCCCGCCCCGGCTGGGGGTGTCAGGACCTGGCGGGGTTGAAGCCGCCGTACTCAGGGGACGCCGGGCTCCCCGGGACGCAGGATTCCAACTGGTGTGGCCCTTTGCAGGGAGGTTGCTAGGCAACATGGCCACACACCCTTGGCCCCGCTTTTATTTCTGCAAGGAGATCCAGCTCCAACCGGGGGTGGGGAGACTTTGTAATGCCTGAGCCGGGAGGTCCTGATGATGTCTGCAGAGTGTCCCCACGGGAAGCGATGATGTGACCAGTGAGTGTGGCGGCAGAGCTCGTGGAAGCCAAAGCCTTGAGGCAGCGCGGTATCTGTAACAGAGGCACAAATCTGTGCGTGGGACTATTACACAGCCATGAGCAGGAGCAGGGCTCCGGGTGCAGCTCCGGGGGTCTCAGCGTTCTCCAGGCACATAATGCATCCTTACAGCTCAGCCAGGAGAAAAACGCCATCACTGGGTTTGTGCAACTTGGTCTTTAAATTCATTTTATATATATATATTTAGTTTTTGAGACACGGTCTTGCTATGCAGTTCAGGCTGGCCTTCAGGTCACGTTATAGCCCAGGCTGGTTTTGAACTTGCAGTGATTCTCCTGCATCAGCCTCCCGAGTGCTGGTGTTACAGGCATGCACCCCCAGCCCTTTTTTATTGCTTATTTTGACAGGGGGAGTCTGGTGAATTTGCCCCGGCTGGGCTTAAATTGGGGGGATCTCCTGCCTCAGCCTCCCGGGGGCAGCAGGACCCTGCAGGCGCTGAGCTCTCTGCTTGCTGCCTGAGCCGGCCGGGGAGGGGCCGGGCACTGAATCCTCCCTGAGGGAGCCCCAGGGTCAGCGCCCCTCGGGTGGTTCCTGCTCGAGCCCTTTGGGGCGTGGGGCTGGGCTCCCGCGGAGCGGCGCGGGCTGCAGGGCCCCGCTCCCCAGCCGAGATCCCTGGGGTCCCCCCTTCCGGCCCGACCGTGCAGCTGGGCCGATTTCCCGAAACCCGCCGCTCGGGAAGTGGCCCCGGCCCGGCGGCGCTCTCAGGGCGGGGGGCGCCGGTTCCTTCCCGGCTTTGTTCCCGCTGGAGCGCGGCCCGGTCCCGCCCTGGCCGGGAAGGACGGCCTCGGGCTGCAGGGTCCCGCGGGCCCCGAACGGGCCAGGGGCGCAGACACGGACACACGCGTGCACACGCAAGCACACAGCGCGGGCCATGCACACGGCACACGCACACACATACACACGCACATGTGCACACGCATGCCTGCACACTGGCACACTCAGGGACCCTCGTGGAAGGAGCCCCGCGTTTCAGGCTGCGGGCCGGGACGGCAGCCTCGCCCAGGGCCCACGTCGAGCCCGTGTCCATGCGTGTGCTAGCCGTGTCCCCACCGTGTCCCCTCCCCGCAGCCAGCGTCCTGCGTCCCGGAACGTGCCGTGCCAGGCCTGTGGCTCGAGATGCTGCCGCTGCTGCTGCTGCTGCTGCCCGCCTGCTGCCCGTGGCCGGCCGCCCAGGGTAGGCTGGGGATGCGCGGGCGCGGGGGTCGGGCTCGGGCCCCCCGCACACCTGTGAGTGTGCCAGCCGCGGCTGGGACGTCCCTAAGCCGCACCCGAGCCCCACCCCCGTCCCGGTCACAGCTGGCACAACCGTCACGGAGAGTCACCCCGGAGTCTTGCAAAACCCAGTGCGGGTCACCGAGGCCGGGGCGGGGACGCTGGCACAGCGGTCTGAGCACCGGGCGGGCTGCCCTCCCGACAGGAAATGGCTCGATGCACGTTTTCTATTTCCCAGCGGTTGCAGGTCCCCATTTCAAAGGTCGCCGCCCTAAGCCCGGGAGCTGGGTGCGGCCCCAGTCGGAACGCGGGTCTGCACAAGACGTGACCGGCATGTGCCCAGCGCTCCGGGAGGCTGAGGCAGGAGCATCTCAAGTTCCAGCCCAGCCGGTGACTTAGAGACTTAGCAACACCCTGTCCAGTAAAAGGCCCCCCCAGGGGTGGCTCCCGGGACAGGGTGACGTCTCTTCCTGGAGAGTGCGGGTGATCAGGACAGAGACGCGCACGGAGGGCACCCGGTGAGGGCGAGGAGCAGGCGGCAGAGAGCGATCCGCTGCCGGGGCCGGTGAGGCCAGGCAGAGGCGTCATTGACTCAGCCTTCCCGGGATGCTGAGGGGATGAGGTCCAGGCGGGACAGATGGCTCCACCGGAGGCAGCTCAGTGACCTTTGATCCTGCCCACGGCCCCTGCCGGCCCTCAGGGCGGAGCCTGACCCCTCCTCTGTGGCCACTTGGGGTCACGGACTTTACTACGGAGTGCCACGCTGACCGCAGGAGGAAGTGGCTTTCTGCCAAGCGCCGCGGCTGGGCACGCCTGCCCTCAACGCTGCGGCGTTGGGGGGTCCACACGGCTTCTCAGGCACTGTGAGAACCCAGCGCATGGGAGGGAGGCTGAGGCAGGAGGATCTCCGCGACTTCCAGGCCAGACTGGGCTACGTAGTGAGACCCTGGCTCGCAAAACAAAGCGAATCATTAGCTGCGGTGTGGTTTGTTCTGACAGAGGTGACTGGGGCTTGGTCCCTGTGAGAAGAAAGTTTCCCAGGTGGCATGCACCTGTCATCCATCCCAGCAGTCAGGAGGCTGAGGCAGGAGAATCTCCAGGCGTTCAAGGCCAGCCTGGGCCCCATAGTAATAAAACTACCTTCAGGCCTGAGGACAGTCTGCCCGCCTCCCTTCCCAACACCCGGGGGTTGTACACCGGCCTTACTCTCGCTGGAGCTTTGGATTGTTTTTCTTTATTTATGTGTTTCTTTAATTTTTTTTGTCTTTTTGAGACAGGGTCTCGCTGTGCAGTTCAGGCTGGCCTTGAACTCACTTTCTAGCCCAGGCTGGCCTTGAACTTGCAGTGATCCTCCTGTCTCAGCCTCCTGAGTGCTGGGATGACAGGCGTGCGCCACCTTGCTCGGGTATCTATTTAGTTTTGAGACCGAGGTATAGCCCAGGTTGGCCTCAAATTTGAGGTGACCCTCCTGCCTCAGCCTCCCAGCGTGCTGGCAGGACGGGTGTGCGCCACCGTGCCGGGGTCCCTGTGAACGGAACCCACACATCGTGTGTGCTTTGTAGGACCCGCTCCTTGCTGGGTGGCTGGTAAGCAGCACACACGCACCTGACTCTGCCTCCGAAGTTTCCGGAGCTCCTCCCTGCCTACTATGCCTCACCTCGGACGCTTCTCATATTCACTGATAAATGACACACAGTGAGCACGCTAGAAGTGGTACCGGGCCACCGCTCTGTCCTAATGGGGGACACTTGGTGTTGATTTATCAAAAGCGAATGTACAATTTCAGACAGCATTGCAGCCAGGCACGGGGGCGCACGCCTGACCTCCCAGCAGTCTGGGAGGCTGAGGCAGGAGGATCCCCAGTTCTGGCTCAGCCTAAGCAATGTGCCAAGTCAGGCAGACTCACTCTCAAAATAAAGAAAAGAAAAATAGAAAGAAGAAGCCATTGAAACCAGGTGTGGTGGGGCACCCCTGTAATCCCACCACTCAGGAGGCTGAGGCAGGAGGATCTCTCGAGTTCCAGGCCAGCCTGGGCTACAAAGTGAGCTCAAATCCAGCCTAAACTGCACAGCGAGACCCTGCCTCAAAAAGAGAAAAAAAAAAAAAAAAAAAAAAAAGAAGCACCAAAAATTGTGGTTTCATGCATAAGAATGTTTCCACAAGGAATGTAAAGAAAAACCAAAAACAAACAAATTTTTTTGTTGTTGTTGTTTTTTTTTCCAGTACCAGGAATTGAACTCACGACCTTGCACTTGCTGCAAACAAATTGAAAAAAAAAAAAAAAGCCAGGTGTAGGGGCACAGACCTGTAATCCCAGCACTCAGGAGGCTGAGGCAGGAGGATCCTTGTGAGTTCAAGCCCAGTCTGGGCTACAAAGTGAGCTCAAGACCAGCCTGAACTGCATAGCGAGACCTTGTCTCAAAAAGACAAAGAAATTAAAAAATTAAAAAATTAAAAAAAGAAGAATTCTCCCAGGGTGTGTGTTTGAGGCCTGCGTTATCTGTTCAGGAGGAGACGGCCGGCCCCACAGTGACCGGCCCCACACTGACGCATTCCTCTGGCTTGGGTACTTACTGAGCAAAGTCTGGGTCTTCATAAGGACAGATGGAGATCACACATAGGGGCAGTTTGAAAACAGCTGTTGTATCCGCCTTCCCCCAGGGAGAGGTCACAGATCAAACCTTAGCAAGCTCTGAATGAGTCTTTTGTGTTGACTTATTTTATTATGTATTATGTTGGTTTTTTTGAGAGACAGGATCTCGCTATGTAGCCCAGGCCGGTGTCGAACTCACAGAGATCCTCCTGCCTCAGCCGCCCGAATGCCGGGCTGACCAGCGAGCTCAGCCACAGCGGCCCGGCTCCTCCTCCTGACCTGAGTCCTGTGATCCTCCTGACTCAGCCTTCCCCTCCAGGGCCCACGGCACCCATCAGGAACCTCAGGGTGGAGCCCAGCACGGGCAGGCTGACCTGGGACCTGATCGGGACCCCATCCGGCATCGAATGCTTCAAAACCAGCTACTCCACGGTAAACCCAGTCCCCAGCACCCAGCCTCAGGCTGCCGGCCCCATCCCGGGTGAATCTGGGGCACAGCTACCCAGGCCCCTCTTCACCCAGCTGTGGCCAGGGACCCTCGCTCCTGAGCTCAGAGACGCCAGCCCCTCCTCGTGTCACACACGCGTGTCCTTCCGTGTGCGTCTGTGTCTTCTTCTCAGCAGCACCCGGTGCTGTGGGGTGCGTGCTGCCGGGGGACTCAGTTGACCTCCAGCTCTGTACGACACCATCTCCACAGACTGTCCCGGCCCGAGGCCCTGGAGGTCAGAAAGTGAATCAACAAGCATTTGGGGATGTAACTGCATCCACAGGAAACCCCCAGTGTCCCTTCCCCTTGCAGGGGCAGCGCTTCCAGACTTACGGCTTCATTAGAGGCTGTAGATACAAGATTAGGTTGGAGCCGGACATGGTGGTGCACGCCTGTAATCTCAGCCCTTGGGAGGCTGAGGCAGGAGGATCTCTGCAAGTTCGAGGCCAGCCTGGGCTACAAAGTGAGCTCAAGGCCAGTGTGAACTGCATAGCCAGACCCTGTCTCAGACAGACAAACAAGCAAAGAAAGGAACAACAAGAAAAAGATTAGGTTGGATTGTTATTCCACAGCAAATACCAGGGCAAATCCAATATACTAGGATCTAGACGTTCTCCTAGCCCAGAAAGGTGCAGAAGAAAGTCTAGGGGAGGATTTGAAAACATTGAAACGAAGCCAGGTGCAGTGGCTCATGGCTGTAATCCCAGCACTCAAGAGGCTGAGGCAGGAGGATCTCAAGGTGGAGCGGAGGCTGCACAATTTCAGGGCTTAGTGAGACCCAGCCTCAAAATAAAAGCTGAAAAGGGGATGGGGGTGGAGCTGAGAGGGAGGGTCCTGGGTTCCGTACCCTCACTGGTTTTCACATTTCATTTTGAGACAGGGTCTCACCAAGCTGCCCCAGGCCGATCTCAAACTTGAAATCCTCCTGCCTCAGCCTCCCAAGGAGCTGTGACGACAGGTCCGGGCCACTGTGCCCAGCTAGTTCAGTGCTTCTCATGACGGGAGGTGGTGTTACTAAAGCTTTTATAGACGTAAGAATATTTAGCGTTGTAAGACGTTGCTATTTCTTTCTCTTCAGGGCGTGACGCGGACAGACGAGGTAAGTGGCCGCGGGAGGGGCTCGCCAGCCTGTGAAGTCGGCGTTGCGTCTAAGTGTCTCTCTGTGTGTAAATTCACCTATCATTCCAGCACTGGGGAGGCTGAGGCAGGAGGATGGCCATAATCTGAGGCCAGTCTGGGTACATAATGAGTTTGAGGAACTATATTATTTTTTCTTTTTGAGACAGGGTCTCTCTATGCAGTTCAGGCTGGCCTTGATCTCACTTTGTAGCCCAGGCTGGTCTGGAACTCACAACGATCCTCCTGCCTCAGCTTCCCCAGTGCTGGGATGACAGGCGTGCGCCACCACGCCCGGCTTGAGCAACTAGATAGCAAGACCCTGTTTCAAAAAAACCAAGACCCAGTTTTGAACAAACACACAGGCATTTGTGTGAGAAGTTACACTGTCCTAACAAGAAAAGTTTTACATGGTAAGATTGTGCATACATAAACTCTTGCAGTATTTGGCTCTGTATCCCATGTATGTGGTTGGACCCCAGGAATGCCTGGAGTCAGCTGAAATCCAGCCACGATTTTTTGTTGCTGTTTGGAGACAGTGTCTTGCTACGTGGCCCGGGTTGGCCTTGAGCTCGTGGTGATCGTCCTGACTCAGCCTCCCGAGGGCTGGGGTCCCAGGTGTGCACCACAAGCCCGGCCACGCAGCTGCTTTCAGCTCTCTGCAGGGCAGCCAGTGCTGGTGAGGGCCGAGCCCGCCCCATGCCCGGATGGGGTGCTGTGTGCGCCCCTCTGTCCCTGTGTGTCCCTAAGGCGGAGGACAACGAATTCTGTGAGTACAGCGCCATGTCCTTGTGCACTGTGACCAACTACACAGTCACCGTGAGGCAGCCGCCCTTCTCAGCGTGGATCCTCTTTCCCGAGCCAGGTGAGGGGAGCTCGCGGCTGCAGAGGGTGCAGTCCATGGCCGGCTGCTCCCAGGCGGGAGCGTCATGGTGGAGAGTCACGGGGAGCAGCGCTGCTCACATCACGGTGGCCGGAGGCATCTTACGCGTAGTTGGCGGGACCCTGTCTGCACTCTTAATCCCGCTTTGCACATCCGGCCGTGCGGGGAGCCGGGGCAAGGGTTCCGGGATCCCTCTGAGTTACGGGGGCCCGGCGGGAGCAAGGTGAGCTCACCCAGGCTCAGGGCGCTCCGGTCTCCCAAGCCAGATGGCAGGATGGAGGCGGCGGCCAGGAACCTGAGCTGCAAGGTCCACGACACGGGCCCGGTGCTCTGCAGCTGGGCCGTGGGCCCCGGGGCCCCGCAGGACGCACAGTACCAGCTGTCGTGGAAGGACCTCAAGTGCGTGGGCACCGCGCGGGGTGGCTGTCCCGGGCGCAGGCAGCCGGGCCTCGGGGCTGACCGGGTGCTCCCGGGACAGGCTAGGGCAGGAGACGGGCGTGTGCCCGCATTACACCAGGGACGCCCAGGGCAGGAACGTCGGGTGTCGTTTCGACGCCGTGTCCGCCCTTCCGGAGCACATGATGATCACCGTGAGCGGCACCCACGCGGCCCGCGTGCCCTGTGCAGACCTAACCGTGGATCTGAAATCCATCCGTGAGTACAGCCGGGCACCCTCCTGCCACACGCGTGGCTCCGTGCCATGGGGGGCGGCGGGACCCGCCAGGGGGAGCTCAAGGGGCCACTGGGATGAACCGCGCGGTGGGACCATCTGGGTATAACCAGGGGTCGGGTGCCCAACAAGACACCCAGCCATTGGGCAGAAGGGGTGACGGGAGAAATGGGCTAGGGGTAGTTTCGCTGGGTATAAACTAGGACCACATAGACCTGTGGGCAGGTGTTTCACTCCCTCAGGGCCGCCATGTGCAATCCCACAGCCCGGGTGCTGACACACAGCAGAGCTCGGTGGCCCAGTCCTGGAGGCTGAAGCCAAGGTCTAGGCGTA